GAACTAAAAGCCCAGTTCAGTATCAAATGTTGTAATTCTGAGCAAAAAGGTAATTCATTATTTATCAGACTGTCTAGAGATACTCAGCATTTCCATGGTGCTTGGCTTTTTCTCTTTTCCTTTTTTTTCTTTTTTTTTAAATCTGCAGTTAGGACATGTATGGATGCTTCAGGCAGAAACTGCTGAAGGTAGTTTCTCTTTCTTTGTCCCAGAGTCAAACTCCATAAACTCCATCACACAAGTTTCACTGATGCATTAGAATTTTTCTTTGCTTAAAAGTCTTGTTGGGCTAGAATGTAGTTCCAAGACACGTATAGTAGCTAAATGTGTGAGGGGAATGATTATTGATCATAGCATCTTTGCTGTAACAGAATCTGTATAATTTACGAGATGCACGCATGTAGAATACCTGCCAATGATGCTAAATTCTCCAAGAGCGGCACGACTGCAGCACCAGCAGCAAATAGTCAAGTTCAGCAGCTATTAGGTAGAGAAACTTTTAAGAGCCAACATCGGAAGATGGCTTGCATGTTTACTTGTTTCTGTGTGTCTGCCATGATCCTGGCATGGAGACAGTGGGACAGTGGAAAGTGTGCAGAGATGAGCGTGAGAAATTATTGTGCTAAGCATGTTCAGAGTGGATCGACCCTAAGACAGAGATGTGAATTTAAGCACCCAAATGCCACTTTAGAGCTGGTAGACCCCTAACAGGTGCTTTTGTGAAGTTTATTACATCACTAGTGAAATCTCAGACAAATATGACCTAATTTTGCAGCATCTAGTGTCACGCGGTAAAGCTACAGCTGCTTAGTAATTCACAGCATAAACTCCAAAGGTTTTATTTGGCTACAATTATGCGTGGCATTCCTTAAGCAGAAGGAGTGGACATCACACAGGAGCTCCTTTTTAAATATTTAGTTTCATCAGTCTCAGAAGAGTCTGTGGGGGTCACGGTAATCCGCTCTTCACTAATGAGGAACACCTACTTTCTCATTCTGGAAACCTTTAGTAAGTTGGAAAGTTTACAAAACCTAGGTTCATTTTGTCTGGAATTAATGCAACCTTTGTTCTCCTGCTGTTTTTTTTGAATAGCCTTTGTTAAAATAATCATTCTATTAGACCGGGAAAGAAACTGTACCAATAGCATGTATTTTTAACCTAACCCAGGGAAGTTCTGTCCCACTGAGATGTCTGGATGCTACTGCAGTTCTGCAGCACTACAAAGTATTATAAACAGTATAGTAGTTGGTAAGAAGTTGAGCATATATAAGCTTACTGTCCCCTCTTCAGGTTGTCTGATTTGGTTAATTAGGGTCAGATGTGACCCTGGATATAGCTCTTATGCTTTCATCATCAGCTTGACTGGGCTGAGTTCTGAGCAGGAGCAGAGATTGCATCAGTGGAAAGCGCTTCTTTGCAAACCTGTTTACAAAGCTGAAATCCAGCAGTAGCCTCTCATCACTCATCTCCTTTCCAGATGCTTTCTGCTCAGTTCCAGCTATGAACTGCAGGAAACCTCCATTTTAAGAGTCAGGGCAAATTGATGAGCAGTTGCCTGCTTTGAGCAGTATCTGTAGTATTTGGAGTTTATGATGGTCTTGCTTTTGATATGAAACAGATAGAAAGTATGAAATAGCAAATGCCTGCTGGGATGCCAGTAATTGGGAAAATTGTTGCTTTAGGCAAATCACAGTTCCTTTATCCTATGTTAGCAATAGAGATCTGTGAAAGGTTGGCACATTTTGTACACGTAAATTCATTCTTGTTTTCTTTTTCATGTTAAGTACCAGCAGTGTATACTAGCTGTCATATTATCCTACATCATCATAGGCACTATGTCCTTGCTTCCCATTTTGCATTGAAGATTTCTCTCTGACTAACTGCAGTGAAGTCTGGCTGATAGTGTTTATCCAGAAGCAATTCCTCCCTCGGTGGAGAGCTTTAGTTCCTTCCTGGAAACAACTGATGTTGTTTTGACCTTTGCCTTTTTGTGAGAATAGATCCTTGTGCTGTATTGAGTGAACGGGTATTTTTTGCCTGTTGCGGGCTTTTTTTTCATCTAATCGTGGCCACACAAAACTATAAGAGAAGTGTAAGCATCTCTCAAAACACAGCGTGGTGCTATTTTTAAGAAAGTTGAATTCCAAATTTAATTAGAATTACTTATATTATGCTTTTAATCTGCAATATAGCGAGTACTCGAGAGCAATTAAGAGTAATAGGCTTACTTATCCTCTATGCAACCCAAGACCTTTATCTGAAGATTGTTGTAGGCGATGTGGAAACTAAATACAGTGTTCCTCAAGTGGGCTTTGAAAAGTCGCAGACCATCTTTTAATGATAAATCTTCATTTCAGTTGTTCATTAGTTTTATATTACATGGGCAACAGCATTAATTTAATGCTGATAATCAATTCCATGTGCTGAATCTTAATAGAACACTTTATAGATGGTGATATTAAAGAATTAAAAGGACTTCTACTCTGTTCTTTATTATTTACTGAAGTGTAATTAAAGACTTTCCCTAGACTGCTGTCTGTGTACTAGGTTAAGCTCAACATAATTTTGAGCATTTACCCTCTCCTTAAAAAAAAAAAAAATAATAAAATCCAGGGTTATCCTTAATAATAATGCTAAGACCTAAATTGCTGTTCCCTGGTTTTGTCTAAACCATTTTAATTTTCTGGCACAAAATATGAAAATGGAGAACTTGATAGACATAAGTGCATTTGTCATGCATATGAATGGCTCCAAGAAAATGAATTAAATCAACAACAAAAAATTTCCAATAAGATCAAAAGCACAAAGCCTGTGGCAAAATAATCATAGATAGCAAAAATAGTTTAACTCCCCCCTGCTGAGCAAATGTTAGGAAATGTGTAATTTTAATAATAATGTTGTTACAAGAAATTAGTAATAGAAGCTCCAGGCCAATTTCTAGCAAGTCCCAAGTGGATACAGGAAGTCCAGAAGTAGAAGAGAAACTGTTTCACTGCTTAAGCAGTTGCATGAAATAACAGAGTCTCTTTGTAGATGGTCTCTGAGACAACAGAGAAGGTGGCTGGGCAGGACCTCTCTTATGGGAGCGCAAGGAAAGCCAAACACAGCATTCACCCCCTTTCCCTTTGCTGAGCTCCACTGGGTGCGCTGGCTCTCTGGCTTGTGGGGATTGGGGATTTCTTCTCATTCATTTGCAATCTAAAGCAAGAAAAGATCCCAAAGATTCACTAGCGTTTCGCATGCAATGATTCGTATGTCCAGAGCAAATCTAAAGAAAAACATATTTTGTATTGTAGATATGTACTTCTTTTCTTGCTACTAATATTTCTAATTACATTATCTTTTCACCTCTGTCCAGAAAGAATGGCAACATGCATCTTTACATAGTCTCACAAAAGTATACTAATACGTTTTTTTCTTTTTCTGACTTCCAGGCGAGGATATGCACAGCAAGAGGTAAGGCTGTTCCCCAATTACATTTAAAATATTAATTACATCAACATACTTTTCCCATACAGCCTGTGTTGTGATACTCATTGCTATGGGGTGTTTTAGAGGCCAGAAATATAAAGTGGTTCAAAAAGTTCCTGAGGCATAAATTCACTGGAGGCTAGTAACCATCGTGGCACAGACGTAACCTCCAGGCTAGCAGATTGCTGCTCAACAAACTGCCAAAAGCCATTTCCCTCCACGCTTGCTGTGTTTTCTTCCGGCACGCCTGATCATCTGCCGCTGCCCACTGTCACGGGCCTGGTACTGGACTACACAGACCTTCTCTGCAACTCAGCGTGGTCTCTTGTTCTTGCAGCATGGTTTTCTCCAGAGATGAGTAACACGGGGAGTTTCCTTCAGAAATCTGAATGGACTTACTTAATAATTGGAAAATTCTCCAAAATACATTTCTATCATAAAGGCTGATATTTACTGCTGAGAGCTGGATCAGTTTTACTAATCTTAAGGTGTGCGCCTGGAGCCTGCTGCTCCTTATTCAGTGGTGCTTTACAAATTGCAAGCTTTCTGTTCTGCGGTGGTTTTTCCTCCCTTTGCAGAGCTGATTTGTGTCTCATAATTCAGATACAGACCTTCCCCATCTCTCAGGGTTTGGTTTTGGCCAGGAAACTTGGCTGAAATAGTGCCACCGAGTCTGGGGAGGAGTGTGGGGACAATGGTACTGATTTTCCTGAGTAAATCCGATCCTAATTTACAGAACAGCAAACGATGTGCATCGGTCTGTCATTTGCAGAAAACTGGAGCTGCAGAGTAATTAACAGCATGACTACCAAAACTGAGCCATGTTTAGCTGTGACACACCTGAGAGGAGCCGTATCATCCTGTCGGTCCTCTCCGTGCAGCCTCCCGGGGTCTTTTCCCTCATGTCAGCATGCTTTTCTCACTGCATGCCGCATACACAAAGAAATCACATGTAAGCTGTAGAGAAAACAAGCGAGATAATCTTTCACTGTCTTATTGGTATTGTGAATTAAAGTATATTTGTGGTTGCAAGGTACTCAGTTGAAAGCCACAGAACTATATAAATACAGATGGAGAATTAAAGTGATGGTATTGCAGTAGGAACTTGGGTAAGAAATCAAATCACTTCAGGTTTTTAATAGCTGAAGCACAGACTTTACTGCCGATTCCCATAGATTTGCTTTCTACCTGTTGTGGATAATTTTTTGTCTGCCATTGTCTCCCTGCTGTCTCCAACATACACCACACAATAGTTCTCCTGGGCTCTGACAGAAGTTCTTGAGTTAAATAAAGTAGAGAATCACCACATAAACTGGGAATTTGATTTTTCTATTAGGCAAAAGAAATAGTGGACTGTAAAGGGATTTCACTACATTAGGTGCTTAGCAGTGTTCTCACTGAGTATGGAGGTATCCAGGCGACTGCCGTACAAAAGGCTCTGAAGGACCTGTGTTCTTAGGATTTCTTTCCAATCTTAACTCAAACCCAAATGACCTGCACTTTAATTGTTGCCGCCTAATTAACCCCTTTCTCATTTTCTTTTGTAGCAACAGCAGTTGCTGAGACCTTCTCTTCTCAGACCAGAGGTACCATTATTATTCATTTCTTAATTATTCTGTAACTTTTAAAATGGCTTTTACATAATTTCTTGTCGTGGTTTAACCCCAGCCAGCAACTAAGCACCACACAGCTGCTCACTCACTCCCCCTCCACCCCCCACAGTGGGATGGGGGAGAAAATCAGGAACAGAAGTAAAACTCGTGCGTTGAGATAAGAACGGTTTAATAGAACAGAAAAGAAGAAACTAATAATGATAATGATAACACTAATAAAGTGACAACAGTAGTAATAAAAGGATTGGAACGTACAAATGATGCGCAGGGCAATTGCTCACCGCTCGCTGATCGACACCCAGCTAGTCCCCGAGCGGCGATTCCCTGCCCCCACTCCCCCCAGTTTATACACTAGATGTGACGTCCCATGGTATGGAATACCCCTTTGGCCACTTTGGGTCAGCTGCCCTGGCTGTGTCCTGGGCCAACTTCTTGTGCCCCTCCAGCTTTCTCGCTGGCTGGGCTTGAGAAGCTGAAAAATCCTTGACTTTAGACTAAACACTACTGAGCAACAGCTGAAAACATCAGTGTTATCAACATTCTTCTCATACTGAACCCAAAACATAGCACTGTACCAGCTACTAGGAAGACAATTAACTCTATCCCAGCTGAAACCAGGACATTTCCTAATAAAAACTTGTCTGTCTTAGGTAGTATTTTCCCCCCTGACTCTTTTAGATGAAAAGAAAGTTCTGACATTGTAACCCCATTTATTTTGTTTTAATTAAATGCCTTAAATTTACTGCATCTTGGTATATTGCCCTTGAGCACCTTTTAGTTGCTCCCATGGACTTCATCACACAGAGTGAAAGCCCTCCTACTTTCATGTCCAGATTCTCAGACAGAATAATGTCCTTGCTGTCCAACCACAATCTGTTTTTTCAGATGTCAGTCAACTGGTAATTGATTATTGTACCTAGAGATGAACTAAGCGGTTGGCCTGCCAAGGTAATGAAAGCATTAGCACACTGCTCTGGATTATAAACCCAATACTTTCTGTTTCAAATCTTTTAGACCCAATATCATTTCCAGAATAAGCCATAGAGCAAATGTAGCTTTTGTGAGACGTTGCTGTTGATGGTATTTTTGTGGTACGGAATGGTGATAGTTTCTGCAGTCGTTATCAGTAATTATGACGAGATGTTCTGACACAACTTTAAATTCATCGGACAGGAGAAAAACCTCTCGGAAGCTGTGAGGTAGAGACGACATGCAGTCCCTGGCCAGAAACCAGGCCCTGGTGCTCTGTGTCCATCCTGCAGTTCAGAGGTATTCTACAGAGCAGCCTAATACCAAACAGGGTGTGAAAGGAGCTTAAGGACATGCTAGCGCTTTTGTAGGATACAGACAAGTACCTCGCTTAGTCCAGTGCCGCTCATGATTGTTGATGGTTGAGAAAACATTAAAAAAGGCACCTGGCAAACAGTGTAAGTAAAATAGCCCTAATCTTTCCACGCAGTTTTTTCGTTTGAGAGAGGCGCAAGAAGTGACAGCGTATTTGCTGTAAGTCCAGTTTACTGAATGAGGTTTTTGTACAGGGTGAGACGGTGTCCCACACCAGAACAGTAGCTGACTTAGAACAGTTGTTCCCAGTGAATACACCAGCGAAGGGGTCATTTAAAGCTCATGTTGGCTTCTCGTTATGGTTCTTGACAGTTGTCAATGTTCCTCAAACTATTGTTTGCACTTTAAGATACTGTTCTTTGCACCTTTTTCATCAGTCATTAATGTGCATAACTGTTTGCCTTCAGTCAGTGTTCCTCTTTTGACAGGAGTTAAGTATGGAGTCTGGAATTGATCCAGGGCAGGAATACTATGGGCAAGATTACTACAGTTACGAGCACGGGTATGTTTTCATTTTTCCTATATATTTCTGAAAATGCTGCTTTTCCAGGTTGGTGACGTTTGTTATTACAGCATCTAATCTGGAGACTTTACTTCACCTCAGGATTACTTTAATCTTTGTGTCCACAAAGGCGTGCGCTGACAACAAAACTCTCTTTAAAAGTTGAGGGGGCGTTGTTGTTCCCTGCTTCTTTAGGAATCTAATTATTACGCTTGCGGAGTGTATACCCCATCTATCATACCAGTTTTTATATTTGCTTTTTTATTTGCATATTTCTGCTGTCTTGGAAATTAATTTCCATCATCTCCTCCCCTTCTGTGGCTCACCAGCCTGACTTCAGTGACTGATACTTTCTGCTCGCAGTTCCCAGCCAGCGTCTGGGCTTTTACATTTACCTAGAAAAACATCATCCTGCCTTGCTCTGTTAACGCCCCTCTGACTGGGAGCACTTCAGGGATTATTGCTGTTCTTACAACCTCACAGGGATTCTCCAGAACTGATCCCAGGGAACCTGCTTTTTCATTCCCTAATTATAAAAAAGATCCCCCCAAAAATCAGGTACCTGGAAAGAAGGTCATTGCACTTGGGGGATTCTTGACCAATCCCAGAGACCTCACAATCCAGGTTGCCCTCCAGTTGTCACGGGCTTGCGACCAATTGCAATGGGAAGAGGTTTTGGATTGTGTTACCACTAAGGAAAAAAGAATAATCATCTTCTCAAAGGTAGAGAGAAAAGAGAGCAAAGAAATTCTTGTCCTTTTGGGATGTGAGTGTGTGCATTTGTTGCTGTCTGTGGAGACACCCGTGAACACATTGGCGCACATTACGAAGAGACGATGGTGTTTTTGCCAGGTATGAACTGCCTCAGTACGGGAGCCGCCGCCGATTGCTGTCTCCTTCGGGGATGTACGATGAGTATGGGGAAGTTGTGGTGGAGAATGATGGTGGCTACTACTATAGTCCACATGGATCAGCAGCAGAAGAGGTAAGTGTCTCTGGTGTGTTGATTCTGTCTCTGCAGCAAGGTGAAGGACCATTAAACCTTGTCAAATGTATTTTGTAATTGATTAGAAGATTGTGTTCTGTATAGACCAAATAAGCAGCTCTTCCAGTACTAATCACTGTTTGCCCTTCTGATGACCGGTAAAGTTTGTGTCAGCACCTCTTTCCCTTTTTCTACACATAAAAAGGAATTGCAAAGTTTCTTTTAATATCCACATCTATTTTTCCCTCAGTGTAGATTTCTAATTCAAAGAAAAAATCCACATAGCCTTAGGTAATTCCATTTTATATTGTTAACCAAATAGGGTATTACTAATATTCAGCCTCTAACTGGTGATTTTCCCCTGAGAAAAGCAGACACCTAAACTCATTTATCATAAAGTTCACAACTGAATGTAAAGAAATTTTAAAATGTCAGTGGCAGCCAGAAGAAAGTTGACTTAAATGTTCCTTTGTTTTTTAATCTAATTTTCAGAAATGCTAGACTCTTTATTCATCACATGGTTTTAATTAAAAGAGATAACATTTCTGAGCCAGTATTTTTCCCTGTTGCCGAGTAAGGTAGTTGTGCATTTGCAGCCTATTCTAGAAGTAAAACTTTCCCCATAACTTTGGTAAAAAGCTATTCTGAAACAGGTAAGTTAGTTTTGATGCTGGGAAAAAATGTTGCATTTGTTCCTACTGACTTACTTTAGAGTAAGAGTTTTCACAATAACTATCTTTGAAATTGTAATCAAGTTCCATTTTCATAATTTGCAGGGAATGAGTCAAGGCAGAGGTCCTTCAAGCAGAGTTGTAAGCCAGAGAGCAGGGGCTCAAATAGAAGGTAGACCTTTAGGTGGTGGGATGGATCTAAGACATGGTTCTGGAAGAGCGTATAGGACCAGCCAGGGAAAAAGGAAACTAAAAGCAGTGATGCATTTAAGTCGCGTAGCAGTCAGTGCTCACAAAGCAGTAGGAAGAACTGAGTCTGCTCGTTCTCCATGGAAGAAAGCAAAGATATTCCCGATGATTCTGCAGAAAGTCAAAGGCGGTAGGAAAGATTCCAGTTATGCCAAGTTGATGTCAGCTCGCCAAGCGGATGGTGAGAAAAGCATGATTATCAGGGGAAGTTACTTCCAGAAATCAACAGATGACAGACCTTCGATGAGAAAACTAAATCATGTGTTAAAACGCATTAGCGTCTCCAGAAAATTTCAAGAGCCCATTGGCGAAGATTCGGTGCATGCAAGAGAAAAAGGAAAGGAAGAATATGAAAGAGATGAAGCAAAATCAGGAGTTTCAATAAGTATCACAGCAGAGAGTGAACATGAGGATAGTGATGATGAGAAGAAGAAGAAGAGAAGAAAATACACTTCAGATGAATCATCTGTGAAGAGTAGTAGCTCTGGCTCGGAGTCAGAAGACAAAGACTACTTGAAAGTAACTCTGGACCAAGATGAAGCCACCGAAAGTACTGTGGACTCAGATGAAGAAACTGGGCACGATTTTGGGGATTCTGATGACGACTCTGGATCCAGCTCTAGCAGTGAATCGGAGGAGGACTCATCTGAAGAGGACGATGATGAAGAAGACTCTGACAGTGATGAAGACGTTAGTCTGTCAAAGAGCTCATCTACACGAAGTTCATACAGCAAATCAGGGACTAGTGAGTCCAGCAGTATAAGAAGCACTGAAAGGTCCAGTATAAAAAGTAGGGGAGGTAGCTCTCGTGGCAGAGCAAGGCGATCCAGCCAGAAATCGAGTATTAGCTCTAATGCATCAGGTAGTGACAGGGACATGAGCTACAGAAAAACTTCAGGATCCAGCTATAAGAGCAAAACCTCCTCTGCCAGCCTTGAACTAGAAGACACAATAGAAGAGGTGTCAGAAGAAGATGAACAAGATGATGTGGAGCAAGTCAGCGCAAGCCCCAAGGAGATGGCAGATAACTCAAATAAGGCAGTTTCTGAAACATCTGCCACTGCAGAAACTACTGCTACTGAAGAAGGCAAGAGAGGAGAATCAGCTATTAATGGTGAGGATAGCGTGGATGAAAGCACAGAAGAGGTTGATACAGATGTTAGTGACAGGGAGGAAACTATCAGTAAGAATGAATCTTCTTGCCTAGAAAGTGAAATCAGTGTCACTTCCAAAGGTACTGAAGGGACAAAAAGCACAGCTAGCCCCACTCCTGGTAAAACTGCTACTTCCCCTGATACTGAGAATCAAAGTTCTGACACCAACATGAAAAGAAAGAAAATAAGAAAAAAGATGTCCCAGGAAAAGAGTCAGTCTCAGTTAGATGAGACCCTGGATACTGCCATTACAGAGTCAGAGGCTGCTGGTGATTCTACATCCTTTTAAAATGGAGCGACAGTAGGTGGACGTTTTGCAGTAAGGAGTGATCTTGTTTGCTGTGCCTTCTGTGTGGTCTTTCCTATGCGATACACACTTGACTAGAGACAGCCAAAAAGAAAATGACAAAGGTTATTGCTTCAGCGTTTGAACCCTATATGCTGTCTTAAGGATAGAACTGTAGAAAACCAAACTAATACAATTCCTCTGAGAGACTACTCAGGTATACTTAGTGGTAGATGTAGAAAGATAATTTGGCAGGAATGGCAGGAAAGAGTACTTCTTTTTCTCTGCTAATTTCAGAAATGTAGTTCAAGAGGCATTATGTTGATTCTTAGAGTTAATCCTTTTTGCATTATGCACATTGTGAAGCAAAGTAACACTGCATTTTGCATTAGCTCTGGTGGATAGCTTGATGAACCTGATGGCACAAACCTATTAAGAGCCCTATGTTCATGCAGGTTATGTCTGTCACAAAATGGAACACTGCAGGAAGAAAAAGGGGCAAAACATGGAATTCAGTGAAGAACAGGAATGAGGATGAGGATGAAAAGACTTAGAAGTCATGCATGGTTTCACCTTATGTTCCCCTACTGTACAGCATTTGCTAATCTTCAGATAAGTTCTTTGCTGTAAACATTAGCCATATTTGCAGGGAGGACAACTCAAATTGCAGCAAAGCAACACTCCCAAAACTGCAGAGTATTACCAGCAGAGCTGGGATTAAACTACTTCTGGATCATGGGATCCAGGTTTCAGGTGCCAGTGGTGTACAAGACAGGAATGCAGAGGTAGATGTACAACGTGAGCTTGGTCAGAAGAGGAAATGGATTACATTTTCCAACTTCTGCCCTTCCCACCTAACAGTACAGTGATTTTATTATAATTTTTTTTAAAACATCTGTTTAAAAGTTTGAGACGCGTAACAGCAAAGTATTGCTGAAGGTAACCATCACCTATGGTCTATATTCTGGTATCCGCCTTTTAAAATTCAATAACCTGTGACATCTGATGTCATTCAATAGAGAAATCTTGTAACACTTGCATTAGCACAGTTCTGCTCAGAGTGAGCATGACTGCATAGGAAGGACTTCTGTTACTGACAGCACAAGTGGCCTTTGTGTTTTCCTATAAGAAGCAACCTCTGCATGATGTACCTCCTCATGGAGCTCTTATCCGTGCTGTTGGCACACAGAGTATGCAAGCTTTGTATACACACAAGCCATCCATGCTTTATTTACCTTGTATCAAAGCCCACAGAGCTGTTTCTCAACCCCTACATTTATCCAGATAAGCCATAAGAAGCCTAAGTAAAATTAAAGCTTTGAGCCAGTATTGGATTGGTCTTGTGAGTGAGTACTCTAGCTAGTACAAATTGTGGCGTATGCACCAAAGCTCTGCCAGGAAGTCTCTGTTAGATGGGGGAGAGAAAAATGTTCTAATTTTTAAGATACTTGAGCCTGCTGTGGAGTTACCTTGGCAGGACAATTGGTGTTGTGCTGCAAAGCGCAACGCTAACTTTTCAACTACTGTCTTTAATTCCAGTTGAAATGTGAACTAGGTTTATGATCACTTACCTGCTTTTTTGCATTCCCGGGTAGTATAAAGTTGTAGCTGCACACAGTGTTTTAACGTAAATCCCATTATAAACTAGTCAGTCTTTTCATCCATCTGAATATATCTGTGTGAAGAAAATTGTATGTCTTTATCAGGAACAAAAGAATAGGCATCCAAGTAATTTGTACAAAGTGTGACCTCTCAAAAGCTTAAAGAGTAATCACCACCTGTTGGTACCCTGCATGATTTTCCTTCTCTAAAACTGGTTTTTCTTGTGTGCATGTGTTTGTATTGCAGTGGGAGTTATCTGTGATGGTATCTGCTGCCTTAATGAAATATCGGTGGTTTCATTATTAATTCAAGAATTATAGTAGCTTGTTTCAGTATACTGCAAGGAGGCATTTATTTTAAAAAGATCAATTAGAAATTAAAATAAGTAAGGGGTTTTGTGTAATCACTATTAGTACAAATTCACAGCAACATGGAAATCGTTTGCATTAACTCTTTAAAAAAATAAATTATATAAGATCTAAAGTCTCATTTCTCCACCATCTTCCATTTAATAGCAAGGCATCTCCATTGATCCCACTGGATTGAAACTGGCACAAAGCCTTGTTTCAAGCTTTTCTATTTTTAACCAGCCAGTTTTGCCAACATCATGCCTGAGAATTTCCCCTGTGTAGGTCCTGAGATCTTTCGCTGCTGATGTGTCGTGCATGTAAAACAGACCTGCTCAATGCCATTCCTGCACTGAATTTACAATGTAGTAATACTCCAGAAGAAAACTTCAAGGCCTTTCTAGCATTTACCCATTAGTACAGTAGTTTCTTAGAAGTATCACTTACACAATGGCTTCACCATCAGTGCCTTCCAGTTTCTATTAGAAGGGGTTATTAATCTAGTTGGTTTTCATCCCTCTTTGTAAGACAGACTGAGGCAAAAAATGTGTCAAAATATGACTGGCTTACCAATATCGTGATTTTAACCTTCAGAAAGTAATGGCTCCGTTCTCAGGATTCTCTAAAGGAGAGGTGCACTACAACTTAATGGGAGCACAGCTGAATGCATCTTTAAAAAAAAAAAAAAAAAAAAAACCAACCCAAAACACCCAAGAACCCAAATTTCTCACTACTTTCCAAACCTGAAGAAAAACATCACAGTTTTTCTACACTATATCTGACTCGTATTATGCAGCTCATGAACTAAAATTAATTTATCTATCTTACGACTTTTTAGTACAAAGAATTGTTTGCATGTTCAGGCCATTAGGTATACATGATAGGGGCACACAGTGGTAATCAAAACAATTAAGAAATATCTGTGTACAACCAAAGAGGAATGGTACAAAAGACCAAGTTAATAAAAATTCATATGAGTGTCTAGATAAAAGACAAGATAAATAACAGATAGAAAAGGGCAGGAAAATGTAAGAAATAGTGCTGAGATTTAACGACATTTCTTATCATCTTATCATCAAACAGTGGGCCAGAAAGAAAAGGATCAAGTTGATAGTCGACCCAGAGTATGAGACCAGCTCCACTGGAGAAGACAGCGCTCCCGATTCCAGCCAGAGGAATCGTCTTAATAACCCGAACATTCAAAACAACATCAACGGTAACATCTACATTGCACAGAATGGCTCTGTTGTCAGAACCCGTCGTGTTTGCCTTGGTAATAATTTAAAAGTCACGTCTCCAGTGAGGCTGGGGAAACAATTCAAGAAACTGGACAAGCTTGCAGTGACACATGAGGAGAATGTCCCACTGAACACCTTGTCAAAGGGACCATCTTCTAGTGATAAAATGAACACAAGACCTTGCAGTGTCTCCTTTGCTTCCTCTACTATAGGGGCCGAAAATATACTAACAAAGCCAGGGGGCTCCAAAATGAAAAGCACAGAAGAGCACGAATCGGTTGTTGATAATGAGGATGTCAAAGAGCCCTTGGAGTCGCACAGTGAACACACACAGTCAGATGAAGAGGAGCTCTGGATGGGCCCTTGGAACAACCTTCACATACCAATGACAAAACTGTGATTATTTCTTTTTTTTTTTAATTTTAATTTTTACTTCAGTTTATAATAAACTGCGCTTTTTATTGTCACTGAGGAAAATGTATGAAATTTGTATTGTGCACATACGTTGTATACTACAAACAACACGCTTTAAAGTTTAAAAAAAAAATTTGCACTCACATTTGTACCAATTAATTGTCCTCCCCAACAACTATTTTGACAGGCTCCCATTTCACTAAACAATACTTCATTTAAATTAATTAGGTTTTTTGGATCTTGATTTATTGTTTAATAAACAGTAAACTACTAATAAATGCACAGCAACATTTGGTTGACTTTTCAGACAGTTCTATACATGCCTAGCTTGTTTTTCTGTATGGTACTTGTGGCTATACTGTTTAGATTTGGAAATTGTCTATTTATGTTCAAGATTTATATCCAGAGCTCTTGATTCTGAACTCAGAGTAATAAATTAAAAATAAATCCATGAAAGTCAATGGAGCAAATCCTCGGCTGGCTTAAATTTGAGTAACAATACCAAAGTCAGTAGTGATATACCAGTTTATGCAAACAGAGGATCTCGCTCAACACCCAGCTAGCAAACTTATGTAAGAGTGGAATTGGAGTTTGTACAAGTGTAGCACCATTACATAGAAAAGTGGAATAGAAGATTAAATAAGATAAAAATTACAAAGAGGAAGGAAATGTATAGCAATTAATCTTATTCAGAGTTACCTGGCCGTGGTTTGTTCATTTTCTTTTGTAAATTAGCTCATTCCAATTTTCTTCTCTAGTCAATTTTTCATCTTTTCATCTCTTCCCACATCAGTTCTGTTTTCTTCTTTATACGGTCTTTAGCTCTGGTTTTTATGCTCCATCAATAATTGTCATCCTATGGCTATATTCCTCCGAAATAAACCAGGATGATACACGAGTCTGTGTGATAGAAATAGGCATTAAAGAGTAATTAATAGGAAGGGCATGGATACATTTTCAAGCCCAGCTAGCTGTTGGGTTAAATGGTACAATCACCATTCCACTCCAGTAGCATTGAACATAAACCTGCTGAAAAGACAAATGGATCATGGTGAAGAGGATAAAAAGTGAATATTTTACAAGGCTAATATGCATAAACAGATCTGTGAAGGGCAAAGGGTGACAGAACACACACACAGAATTGTTTCAAAAACTCTTAAGTAAGCATTACTTGTAAAATACACGAGATGAATTTTGGCACCTGCTTACAATTTCTGTTTGCACCTCAAAGTAGTGAGTGTGTTGTGTTACAACTTGAATAAGGAGCTGAGAAATGCCACTGCTCATAGTCCCCAGTACCTAAAAGACATTAGCAATACAGAGCGAAGTGTTTTTCTCCAGTGTGATATAGGAAGGAAAAAAAGAAGATACATATTCATATGAGCAAAGTGTCCTGTTGTATTACGCAAACTTTTTTTCCAGGATAAGATCAAACTAGTTGTGAGAACAATATGGACACCTCTCAAAAGATAGGAAGAGTTGACAGATAAATGCATGTGATTAGTAAGGAAATGATTGGCATCATCATTATTTCCCTGTTGCTGTAGTTGAAGTTTCACCACAAGATCTGGATGACGATGGCTGTTGGTTCTGCCCTGGCAGTAAATGGACTTCTGCTACCGTGGTTGTGCTTGTTTTCCCCTTGCACAGGTTCTCCATGAGGTTCCTGTTAATGTTTGTCTTTAGAAGCTGTTTGCATGTTACGCCGATGTAAATGTGACATTTCTGTCAAATATCTCCTTTTCAAGCTGAGGTTTCTGACCAAATATTTTCAGACAGTGCTTGTTTTTAGGCATGAGAAATGCAATGTAGCCTACCATGCAAGGAAAAAAAAAAAAAAAGGACCGGGTATTTCTTTCTCCTCACTCTTTTATCTTGGCATACTTGCACTTGGTACCAAACAAAAAATAGCTGTTTGGATTTTAGCTAGAGTCTGAACATATAGATAAGAATGATGGAAGAAAAAAAAAAAATCTATTCTTTGAAAAAAACTAGTAAAATGTTATATTTTAATCCTGTTTAAGATACTGTTATTATTTCACTACATCATTTTTATTGCAAGATCCGTAGTAAATACTTTGATAAAGTCATATGCTTTTTAGAGTAACATTTTCTCCCAGCTACTCTCAGTTTTCTGAGGGGAAAAAAAAAATGTTTCATTTTCTGGAGACTCGCAGCTGTACCAGCTTTAGCTCTAGCTCTGTGAAGGATTGTCAGGCCTAACACTGGTGGTCAGTAGTGCTGTGTATGCTTATCAAAGGCAAAACCTGTCAACACTGTCTCCTTTGTGCTGTCCAAGCGCTCAGAACTTTTCCCACAATGCAAAGAGCGTAAGAAATTTCGCTTTTTCAGCGATGGCTGGGGTTTACCTAAATCTAGCCCAATTTTAGGTAAACTTGTAGTGACTTTCAAAATCTTGAATACTGTTGGCAAATAGAGGGCTTTGTGAAATCTTTCAGAGGTACAGAAGATTTGGGGGAGGTATTTTTTCTTTTTTTCTTTTTTCTTTTTTCTTTTTTTCTTTTTTCTGGAAGTAATACTGTAAATCAACACAGAATTTGAGTCTTTATTTTCTGGGGATACCATACTGTAAATGAATACAGAATTTAGACTGTGAGCAGGCAGTAGGTGCCAGAACCAACAGCGATAACAGTACAGGCTGATACAGTAAAAAAAAGGTTACTTCTCCTTTTCCTTTGGGAAGTGAAGTATTAGCATGGCTTTGGTGGATCCAGTAAGTAGAATAGCATATCTGGGTCTTGGGATATAATTTACAGTTATTTAGGTACTGAAATTTGTAAAGCTGATGCAAGGCACGAGCGTTTTCCCCTGGGTGGCAGAACTACTTACTGGCTGACCGATCAAGGTGATAATCATTGTTCCTGACATGGATTTAATTTGTACACTCCTCCAAGCAGGCACTAATAGTTTTGTGGTTTAGTATGGCATCTGCTTCATTTTCAGTATAAGCAAGATTCAAATGACTGACTGTGTGGCTGTAGAAGGGCAGTGTAATGCCTACTGTGAGGCAGAACAAGGAATGTCAGGAGAAAAATACAAACTTCTTTTCTTTCTCCTTTGTTTAAGTATATACCACTATGAGCAAGACTGTAAACACAGCCCCGCAGATCTATTTGGACCTGTTAGGAAACTTAAAATATTTATGCATTAGTGGTAGGTAGTCCTTGCACCTAGGATTTTCCTGGGTTGGTGTGGGGAAAAGGACAGTGCGGTCGTGGCGGGTGATGTGTGTGTCTGTCTTGGTGCCTTCTGCTGGCAAAGTGAAGTCACCCACCCCGGGGTGAATCCTTCCAGAACCTGGTTATGTGGCTGGAAAACTTGCATAGTCAGCAAAATGGAAAACAGATTGAAAAAACCCTAAATTTTTAGCAGTGGGAGAACAGCACCAACCTCTGACAGAAAATTCAGCTTACATGGTGGAAAAACACCTAGTGGGAATGAGATATTTTGGGCCAGTCACAACCATGGAAGTGCTTTCTGGAAAGCGTCACACGCCCCTAAGGGAATACAGCTTGATATTTTAAAAAATCTCTGATAGATCACAGCCATGGTGGTGCTGGTTTCTCATGGTGGTCATCCCCAGGTTGCTTCTATGTGATGATATCAGCGGTTGAGAAGTGGCTTCTCCTTTTTACATCTGTTTGCCTCTAACAAATGTCAGTTGTAAGGCAAAACTTTACAATTCAGTGTATTTTAAAGCTGGTGGATGGCGATGAATGCTTCTTACCTGGTAAGATTTGTAATAGAGCTGCAAACGGGGGTTATACATTTGACTGCTTTCTCAGCAAGCCCTAGTTTGTGGCTGTGCAAAGACACGCAGCTAGCCAGATATAAAAAGGGCAGCAACATTCTCCTGCTCAGCACACGCTTGCTGGCTTCAAATGCTGCATTCAGAAGTGGTAACTTTAAGTTACCATTGACTGTCTCATTATTTATAGTCTGAGAAAGACTTTCATTTATTACAAAGTATTGATAAACCACGAGGTTGGATAAACCCAAAGAACGGTGCAGTTTATCACATGAACTTTGAAGGCAGCTGGTTCTCAAAAGCCCATTAGATGAGTATTGAGGAACATTACCTTTTTTCTTTATTATTGGAAGAAGAGAGTTTCAGTAATTTAACTGTTTGGACTAGGAGCACTAAGCCCAGCTGATCAAATGATAAAGCTGTAGCACAGACCTGGATCAATAGTGTAGCAACAACATGAGCAGAATCAGGTAATTCACTCGTAGCGTAACAAAACCGAAGGTTTCAGGGTGGCACCAGCCTGGACGGCTGGAACGCAGTTTATCTTTCTGGCACTGATTGTTGCTCTTTACCAATACGCGATAAAATTATATTGTTCCTTTCGCGAGCCACCCAACACGAGCAACGCCAACCCTGCAAACTGTCGTTAAGCAACGGCTGTCTGCAATGCAGCATCGTGATACCCAGAATGAGTTGCAGCATTCTGAGGAGCGTTCGCCTGTCCCCCTATGGATGCCATAGAAACATACGGGTGGCCGTGGCGTTGAGGAATTGCCACCATTTGGCTCTGTCTAAGCAGCCAGCGTGGGGCGAACAGGCATGGGGAGCCCATGCTAGAGTCCAGCAGAAGGGGATGCAAGCTCCCAATCCTGGTTGTGTGGAGAGGGCTGCTTGGAAATAAGTGAGTGGTTGTAGCCTGAGGAGGCTTCGTTTGTATGCTCTCCACCTGGCAAGGAGCAGCAGTTTCCACGGAGAGCTGGAGGAACCGCACAGAGCTGCTCAGGCAGCAAATCCACCAGATCACTGGGCAGAAGCGTGGAGACCCTTGGAGGTACCGTGCTTTGTATAGGCCTGTAGGTTTTTAACCAGTATTTGGCTTTCAGGAGGTCCCATTGAAACTCTAGCTTTGGCCGGGCTGACCTTGCTCGGAGCAGGTAATAGCTGGTAAGTTGTTTGTGCTGTATTCAAAAGCATGTTTGGGGAAGGGATGGTGCCTGTACAGTGGCTCTTTCGTGGTTCTTGAAAGAATAAGGACAAGATCCCGTGTCAAAGTGTTAAAAGTCTTTCTCTTCGCCTCGAAGCTCTGCTGAAATGCTTAAAGAATAGAGAACATCATCACCTTTTTAAGGCAACAAAGGTAAAATTAGCCTTTTTAGTGCATACCGCTCAAGACTTCCTTCTCTACTCCCAGAAGACTGGACACGGTACCTGGCAAACTCAAATGCGAGGGCAGGTATGGGGCTTATCTCATTGCAGCAGTTACCAGAAACTTTGCAAGTGCCTGTTCCCAGGGGAGGTGTTCCTGGCAGCCCTGTGAGTGCTGCAGAAGTCCAGTCAGAGGGTTCTGGGGAGATTTTGGGGGAGCCGGGGACAGGATGCTTATAGAAAAGGGCAGCTTTGGTGCAGAACTGAATGTTGTGTTGCAGTAGAGGGAGATTTAGGGTTTTTTCAAGAGTTTAGGGAGAATATAAGCCTTTATATTGATAACACCACAAAGCCGTGTTGTACGTCAGTGTTGGGGAGATTGATAGTTAATGGCTCACTGGTGAAATCCATTGCTGGTTCTTCTCAGCAGTTAGATTTACAGGCTGCGTATGCATCGTTTCTCTGGCTGCCCATAGATTACCTGTTGTCTTCTGAGGCACAGAAACGAAGCAAGTTTCCATTTCAGAGGGCAGTGGTCTCGTGAGAGTTCAGCACCCTGCAGCCAGGTGTCTCGCAGAAGCGCTCCCAGCAGCGCCGTCATTTGCCACCAGTCGTGTGGGTTGGAGCCGATGGAATTTCCTTCGTGCGAGAGTCGAGCCCAACCTCTCACAGGTACCGTGTTGCTTAATGCGCTCCTGTGGGGCAGACTGAGCCGTTCCTGTGGGGCTACTGG